TTTAGCAATTTACACACAGAAAAATTTTGGAATATTTAACTTTCTTGGTGAATTTTTTGTCAGGGAAGCTATGGACTCCGTAATCATGCGCTGCAAGAGTGCCGTACTATGCAGTATTTTGATGCTTTTCCTGTGGAAAGGATAATGAAATTTAAAATTAAGCTTGCTTTTTTATATACATGTTATTTACACATTTAGCAATATATACACAGAAATATTTTGAATATTTAACTTTTTTGGTGAATTTTTGTCAGGGAAGCTATGGACTGCCGTAATCATGCATTATGTTGATGTTCTTCTCATAAAAAAAAATATTTGGGTTTGGAATTGGGCTTTGCTTTTTTGTATACATGTTTTTTACATATTTAGCAATTTACACACAGAAAAATTTTGGAATATTTAACTTCTTGGTGAATTTTTGTCAGGAAGCTATGGACTGCCGTAATCATGCAATAAGTTGATGTTCTTCTATCATAAAAAAATATTTGGGTTTAGAATTGGGCTTTGCTTTTTATATACATACTAACAACAGAACTACACTACTTTAAGGATATGAGAGCACATGCACTGTAATCACCATACGTGTACCATTTTCATAGACCCTGCTTAGGATTAAAACTTCTCAGATGCATAACAATAGTACCAACCTAGAGGTTAACTGGTGTGGATGCATTCTCTGGGAGTGAGACTATTGAGAAATTCAGTAGGGAGTTATTTTGCTTCTCCGCATTCTAACACTCCAACAGTTAACACTGTGGAAACACTGACTCATGTTTGGTAAAGCAATTTCAGGGAAGAAACTATAGACATTGATTAAATAAATTATTAATTAAATTGCATTAAATAAAAATTATTAGATTTAAATAAATATTATAGAGTGAAAAAAAAAGACAGAAATTAACAAAATTAGAAAATAAAAATTTTTTGAAAAATGCAACTATATTGCAGAAAAGAAAGAACCTTATTAAAAAATACATAAACAAACTGTAATTCGACACTCGATAATTCGACACTTTCGATAATTCGAGCCATTTTAAAAATCAAATTTACAAGGTTGATTGTTGTTTAAATACAACTTTGCTTTTGCATGCATAAACACAGCTCTTGTAGCAAGAACCCAAATATTATTATAGTCATAGCAAAAGCCAACTAAGTGAAAACTGATGCCTCTTCAGAATGAATGAAGACTGAAATCTGAAGGAGCAGAAGATATGGGTCATTTATACTTTCACCAATGCCTTTAGGATCTTTGCGATGGAACGCGTATGGTGTTTCAGCGCATGTGCTCTCATGTCCTTGAAGCACATATACTGACAGTGCCCAAAGTTGAACACACGTATAGTGTCTGAAATATCTTTTGGCCCCTTCGGATACCAACCTCGCTTCATTCTAGAGGGCGTTAGTTTTCACTAAGGTTGGCTTTTGCTATGACTATAAATAAGCACAAGGCCAAACCATTGGCTACAAGAGCCTGTGTTTACGCACGACAACTTTATATGTGGCTTTTTCAAGTGTGCGAACATTGGATAGCATACATGTAAAGATGAACCATATTTTCTGCTCCTTCAGATTTCAGTCTTCCATTCATTCTGAAGAGGCATCAGTTTTCACTAAAGTTGGCTTTTGCTTTTACTATAAATAATATTGGGTTCTTGCTACAAGAGCCTGTGTTTTATGCATGCAAAATCAAGTTGTATTAAACAACAATCAACCTTGTAAATTTGATTTTTAAAATGGTCGAATTATCGAAAGTGTCGAATTATCGAAAGTGTCGAATTATCGATAGTGGTCGAATTACAGTTTGATTATTATATTTTTAATAAGGTCCTCTATCTATCTGCAATATAGTTGTATTTTTCGAAATTTTATTTTCTAATTTGTTAATTTTTTCTTTTTTTTTTCACTCTAATAATATTATTTAAATCTAATAATTTTTATTTTAATGCAATTTGATTAATAATTTATTTAATCCAATGTCTATAGTTTTCTTACCTGAAATTGCTTACCAAACATAGTCAGTGTTTCCACAGTGTTAACAGTATGAGTGTTTAGAATGCGAGAAGCAAAATAACTCTCTACTGAATTTCTCAATAGTCTTACTCCGAGAGGAATGCATCCACACCAGTTAACCTCCTAGGAGTTTGGTACTATTGTTATGCTTCTGAGAAGTTTTAATCCTAAGCAGGGTCTTTGAAAATGGTACACGTATGGTGATACAGTGCATGTGCTCTCATGTCCTTAAAGAATTGTAGTTCTGTTGTTTGCAATTTCATTTTCGATTTGTTAAAATTTTTATTCTATAGTTTTCTCACCTGCGGGTCCTTCGGGTAAACCCGGGCGTTGCCCGGGTCACTCGGCTAGTAAGAGTATAAAACTTAAATGAAGAAATCAAAATAATAAGACAATACTCGCGAAGTTGTTCAAAAGATCTATAAATATATATAGTCAAATATATAAAAGTAAACAACACAAAGAATATATACAATTAAATATTTTTTTAGCCTGTACACCAACATACTTCCTAAATGTAAACCCGGTAAACTTCTTCCATGATTTTTATAAATTTATATTTTAAGAAGTTTTTGTTCTATCTTATATGAACATATTTCTAAATTATTTTAAAAAAATCTACTTCTAAAGTATATTATAATTGTCAAATTTCTAAGAGTGTATATGCCGATATCTGAAAGCATTGGATATACTTATCTTTAGAAATTTGCTTATATACATTTTTTCGTGTGTGTGAAAGTAAGGCATTTATTTTCTTTCTGAAAGTATTGTATACACCCATACCTCGCTTGGCGTCGGGGTTTACGTTCCAAAAAACACGACGCAAATTGAAACGACGCAAAGTGAAAATATGTGAAGGCGCAATCAAAAACAAAGGTGTTGCCATATTTTAGAAAAAAAATTAAAGACTCGAATCCAATAACAACGCAACTTTCGAAGATCTAACGACGCACATGAAAATCAGTAAAAATTAAGCAGCGACGCAACTTCGAAAAAAACGCAAAACGAAACGACGCAAAGCGAGTATTGGTGTATATGCCTTTGTGTGTATATCTATGAAAGTATTATATAATATACATGTCTTTTTTAAAACATTGTATTTGTATAATTCTGAAAATATGTATATATTTATTTACGCAATATTTTGAAAAAACAATTTTTATTGTGTGAAATTATTGTAATTATCTCTTTAGAAAGAGTATATTGTATTTGTCTATTTTTTGGTAATTATTGAACTTATTTCTGAAGTATTTCTATATATTTTCTGAAATACTTCTAAAAATCTATTTCTCTGAGAAATACTTGTATATATACATTTTTGAGTGCATTGTATATAACTACTTATGAAATACTGTATATATGCATTTCTGAAAGAATTTGTCTATATTTACAAAAAAAGTATTTTATTAACTGTAACAATTTTATTTCTAATATTTCTGAAAGTATTAAATGTATTTACTTCTGTGTGTGAAAGTATTTAAAAGTGAAAGTAATTTGTTTATTTTTGATGTATTTATGGAAAAATATTGTATTTATCTACTTTTGAAAATATGTATTATCTACTTTTGAATGTATTATAAATATGCATTTTTGAAGCATTATATTAGTATATATAAAAAAATATTGTATATATATTTATTTATGCAATATTTACAAAATCAATTTGTATAATGTTAAATTATTGTATATATCTCTTTCTGAAAATGTTGTTCATATATATTTCCTAAATACTTATAAATAATATATATTTATGAATAAATATTCGCCTATTTCTAAGAGTATTGTATATAATTTCACTCTCTGTAATACACTTGTATATAATATGTTATAAAAAAGTAATTTTTAAAATGTTATATTAAAATATTTTATTTAAAAAATATATATATATAGATATAAATACTCTTTAAAATCGACCGCCAGAGGTCACGCTTTTTCTCTATAAAACTCATTGTTGTTCTTCCCCGCTGGCGGCTCAAAACATTTGTACATTATGTAATAAGCTTTTCATTTTTTTATTTCTTAACGCCTTAAGCCAGGCAGTACTTGAATCAAATTATGATCTTATATATTAATCTTTAGCTCATATAAAAACAATCTCTGATCAAAACCATTTTTGTTATATATTTTCAAGATATAGCCACGACTGCATCATCAATACCATATAGACTAAAAAGAACCACTAAATAACTGCATTACCATAATCCTCAACATGATCCAAAACAACAGAAATCTTATCTATTTTTTAAAATATAATAAATATATATATACATTTCTGAAAGTATTATATATCGTCTTTTTCTGAAAAAGTATGTATTTATATTTCTGAAACAATTTGTATTTATATATTTCTCAAAGTATTATATGTATCTACTTCTGTTGTGAAAGTAATTTGTTTATTTCTGAAAGTATTTTGTTTATTTCTGAAAGTATTTGTTTATTTATGTGAAAATATGTATTAATCTACTTTTGCATGTATTGCATTTATATAGTTTATATTTTTAAAGATGTATATTATTATTTGTATATAAGAGTTGTATATTTCACTCGTTCCATTTTTCAATATGAAAATAAATACGAATTTTAAATATCGAATTTAGTATTATTATTTGTATATAAGCCAATATAATTTTATTTCTCATTTTTATTTCAATATTTTTTTATTCTAAAAATTTCTCAAGATAAAATAAAGACTTTAGCGTTGAATACAAGTTTTTAAATCCAATATTTGATATACAATCATACCACCTAGAAGCCTAAAAATGTGTATATTCACTGAACCTAATACAATGATGGTTTAAAATATAAAACTTCTAAAATACAATATAACGCGGCTGATGAATTGTAAAACGAAAATGAAATTATACCGCGAATGTTTCTTTTATAAAAATCGAAATTTATTTCAAAGAGTAAATAGCGACATTTCTAACTTTGAGGATGAGGTATGGAAAGGTGAAACATGAAGAATAATGGCGAACGGAAAAATAAAAAGTGTCCAAGGGGCGGAATCGAACCCACACCCTTCCTCTTACCGGGCAGTGCCTTGTCCACTCGGCTACCCTGGACGTATTTTCCGTTCGTAACTTATATTTAAAGTAACATTTAAAATACAATATAACTCGGCTGATGATTGTAAAACGAAAATTGAATTATACCGCGAATGTTTCTTTTTATAAAAACGAAATTTATTTTCAAGAGAAATAGCACAATTTCTACTTGAGGATGAGGTATGGAAAGGTGAAAACATGAAGAGTAATGGCGAACGGAAAAAAAAAAGTGTCCATGGGCGGGAATCGAACCCACACCCTTCTGCTACCGGGCAGGTGCCTTGTCCACTCGGCTACCCTGGACGTATTTTTCCGTCGTAACTATATTTAAAGTAACATTTTAAAATACAATATAACGCGGCTGATGATTGTAAAACGAAATTGAAATTATACCGCGAATGTTTCTTTTAT